CCCACTTCGAGAATGGTGGCTCTTACGCTAGTTGCACCCTATGTATAAGTATCGCAAGTAACATAGCTACTTACATGAGCTATTTATGGGTACTTACTAAGATACTTATAAGTAACTTAAGTTGATGTTCTTAAGTTACTTAAGCTAACACTATAAGATACTTATAAGTTACTTAGGGAAATGAAGCGATCGCGATCGCTTGGGAGGAGGAGGAGGAGGAGGAGGAGGAGAGCGATGTCGATCGCTGTGAGGGGGGGGAGGGGGGGAGGAGAGTGATGAGCGCGGCGGGGCGCGCGGCCTCCTCACCGCGCGCGGCCGCGTCCTCAGTGTCCGCGCGGCCTCCTCACCGCGCAGGGGGCTCACCCTCAGGGGCCGCCTCGCCGCCCTGCCCGTCGCGGAAGGCGGTCAAGCAGATCGCCTCCGCCTCGCTCAACGCCTGCAGCTCGGCCTGCGGTTGGAGCCGCCTGAGGACGCTGGAGTCGTTCCACCCATCCCCGCCCAGGGACGCGAGCAGCTCCACCAGCTCATCCTCGGTAGGAGGGCGCACGGTGGCGCTTTCGAACTCCCACGAACGCTGGACCTCCATTGCCTGCTCCCTCTCGGCCGACGGCTGCAACCTCGAGGCGCGGCCGCTTGGGTTGCGGCGGCGGCGCCGCGTCCTTGGAGGTGGCCGCAACGAAAGCGGCGGGCGACGGCATCTTGAATAACTTCGCGTTGGCCATATTCGGCCACGGGCCGCCTCGCGGCAGCGGTACACTGGACGGCTTCGCGCCGACCAGCCCAGGTGGCAGCGGTTCCGAGGGGAGATCGTCCATGACGCGCCCCCTCCTGCGCGCGCGCGCGCCGTCGCTTGGCCGCGAGCGCCCCGTGCGCCACTCGCGAGGCGAGCCGAAACGGCTGAGCAATCGCCGTCATCGCGAGCCATCGTCGCCAACGCCCGCCCGAGCGATCGCCATCGCTCCACCCATATTCCCACCCGCGCCCGAGCGATCGACATCGCTCTCCTCCTCCTCATCATCGTCATCCTCCTCTTCCTCCTTCTCCTGCCTCCTCCCCCTTCCAAGCGATCGACATCGCTTCGCCTCCCCCAGCGATCGGCGTCGCTCTCTTGCTCCTCCTCCTCCTCCTCCTCCTCCTCCTCGCGGCGATCGAGATCGCGAGCCCCCCTGGCTGCCCATGCAAATCCCGCGGCCCCACTGGCTGCCCATGCACATCGCGATCGGCATCGCTACTCCTCCTCCTCCCTCCGCAGCCCCCTGGCTGCCCGTGCAGATCCTGCTCCTCCCCATCCTCCTGCTCCTGCTCCTCCTGCTCCTCCTGCTCCTCCTCCTCCTCCTCCTCCTCCTCCTCCTCCAAGCGATCGCCATCGCTACCTCCCCCAAGCGATCGACATCGATATCCCCCCCCAAGCTTCTTGTTGGCGCGCGCAGCCTCGCGCCGCCTCACTGCGGGGGCGCAGGCCGCGGCGGCGGGGGCGGCTCAGTCAGGGCGTCCGTGGACGACCCTGGGCGCCCGTCGCCGCCCGCGAGCCCCTCCTCACGGGGGGACCACGGCGGCGGAGGCGGCTTCGTCAGGGCGTCGGCCATGACCACCGCCGACGCCATGGCCGCCTCCGCCTCGGGGGCGTCGCACAGCCTCTGCAGGCGGATGATCGTCATCGCGTCCTGCTTGAGCTGCGCCAGCGCCGCCGCATGCACCGCGGCGCGGCGGCGCGCGACGCCCAGCAGCTCGGCGGCCCGATCCAGCTCGACGTCGCGCATGTCGATCTGGAGGGCCAAGTGCCGCGCCACCTGGGGGGGTCGTCGTCGTCGTCGTCGCGCCGCCGCCGCCGTCGTCGTCGCCGCCACCGTCGTCGTCGTCGTCGTCGTCGTCGTCGTCGTCGTCGTCGTCGTCGTCGTCGTCGTCTCGTCGTCGTCTCGTCGTCGTCTTATCCGCCTCCTCCTTCTCCGCCCGCAGCTGGGCGTTCGCCGCGCGCAGCTGCTCGACCTCCCCGCGCAGCTGCTCCACCTCCCCGAGCAGCCGCTCGGGCAAGCTCGCCTCATTCGTCGCCGTCTTCGTCGCCGTCGTCGCATCGTCGTCGTCGTCTCGTCGTCGTGCGCGGCCGCCTTCGGCCAGCTCGAGGCGCGCTTGCGCGCGGCCGCCAGGGGCAGCATCGCGCCTGCCCCGCGCGAGCCCAAGGGGCAGCAGCGCGCCAACGTTGAACGGTTGCGCGCTGCGCGCAGTGATCTTATTTTCCTCCTCCCACCCCCCGCCCGTCTTCCAGCGATCGATATCGCTATCCTCCCTCTTCCGCCACCTCCTCCTCCTCCTCTTCCTCCTTCAAGCGATCGACGTCGCTTCACCTCACCCAGCGATCGGCATCGCTCGATTTTCTTTTCCGTCCCCCCCTCCTTCCAGCGATCGGCATCGCTTTCTCCCTCCCCCTCCTCCTCCTCCTCATCCTCATCCTCCTCCTCTCATCTCCTCACCCAAGCGATCGGCATCGCTTCACCTCACCCAGCGATCGACATCGCTCCCCACACACACACACACCGCGGCGCGGCGCATGTTTCCATATGTTTCTCAGCGCGCGTGCGCGATGACATAGTCACCGTTGCTCTTCACGCGCCACGCCCAGACAGCGCCATCCAGGTCAGCGTCGGACATCTTGATGACGAGGAGCTCGCTCACCACGCTGCCAGTGCTGAGGCCGCACGCGCCCGTTGAGATCTCGATCCCGCGGGCGACGATGTGCAGTTCGCCAGAAATCTCCGCGCACGCGTCGATGATAAACACCTCGCCGCCGCGCGAGCGAACCCCCTGGCCCACGTTGTAGGCGTTCCCTTCCCAGCGCAGCCCCCTGGCCACGGAGACGTCGGCGGCCCCGACTACGGAGCGCAACCCGTCAGATTCGGCACGCGCTCCCTCCAGCGAGTTGCCCGTCGGCCCCATCTTCTCGAGTTGCCGCACTTGCTGCAATACGCAGCCCGCGAGCGTCGTGGCCTCCATGCGCGCGGTGTTCTCCACTGGTTCGGCCACCGCCTTTGCCACCTTATTGCGGCGCTCCGTCACGAAGCAGTCGAGCTCTTTCGGCTCCTGCTCCGCGTTGTGAAACACGTAGTGGTGTTTGGGCTTCACGTATTTGGTGCCGTACGCCTGCTTGTGCAAGTTGAGATGGACTTCAGCCGCTGCCATGAAGTCACTGCGAGGGGGGGCACGCCCGCGCTTGACATTCAGGAACGCGTCCGCCAGCAGGCCGCACGCCCGAAGGGACGCTATTTCGCGCTCGAGCGACCCGATGCGGACGGCGCGCTCCTCGGCGAACGCCAAAAGGACGAAGAAGGTCGAGATCAGCTCGCTGGCGCCTGCTTTGAATGATTTCTTGCACGCGGTCTCGTGCCCAGGCGTGAACATATGTTTTGCCGTTCTGCCGTGCGACCTCGGGAACTGCCAGCGCCGCGTGAACGCGTGAAGCTCGGGCCATCCGATGCCAGCTTTTCTCTGGCACGCCTTCACAAACGCGAACACCTCCCAGCCAACGGTGCCATTGCTCCATAGGTTGTGCATGCTGTCATACGTCATGGCGGACGGCTTCATTATCGCCCGCAATTCCTTATCCTCCAGCAAGCCATTGGGATGGTAGTTGAAGCCGCTGGCTTTGTCGAGCTTCTGGAAGTTGCCCTTCGTCATGTGGCCAGGCTGTCCCGCGGTCGCCGCCGCTGCGGCGAGGTCGTCCCGCAGTTTCCACACGTCGGCGTCTGAATGACGATCGAAGCGCGCGTGCTCGTGACAACAGGTGTCGACGAAGTAGCCGCCGTCGCCGTCGACGGAACCGCCCTTCAAGATCACGTTCTTGCATCGCAAGCAAGGCCTCCAGCCGTTGGCACCCCGCAAACGCAGAATGCCTTTGAACGCATCCATGTCTGCGAGAAGATTGGAGAGGCGCGCCCGCACCAGCATCGGAGTGCCGTTGGCCAGCTCCACGTGCGCGCCAGCTCCCGCGAGCCTGGAGGATCCGAAGAACATCTCCCTGATGAGGAGTCGAGTGGCACAGGAGATGCCGCCGTCCACGCGATTGCTCGCTTTCGTTCGCAGACACCCCAGCGGTAGCCACAGCTCTTCCCTCCATAGCATGTCAGCCCCGAACTCCAGGAACGTGAAGAAGATCATCCAGAACTTCCGATCGTGCCTCAGGGCCAGCGCGTCGCCTGGTGTCACTTCGTCCATGTACAGCACCAGCGAGAGCGGCGCGCCGCGGACGCGGTTCGCGACCACCGCGAGAAGCTCACTGTACACGGGGCTGGCCTTGCAAACATACCGCAGGAGCTTGTCGATTCTGGCGAGCTTCCAAGCGAAGGGCGGCTCGTTATCTTGCATGGGCAATTCGATTGTCGCCCCGACGTCGTCGAATACGCCCTCAATGGTGGATTGGACCGCGTAAGCCGTCAGCTCTTGCGCATGGCCAGGCTTCGCGAGCTTCTTGGCGATGCGAACGAGGGCCTTGCCAGATACGCCATGCGTAGCGATGGCATCGGATAGCCGACGCCGCTTGGCCGCCTGAGGTCGCGGACATCGGATACCCGACTCCGCTTCGGGGCCATCGCGCCGCCGCTTGGGCATCGCACCGCCGCTTGGCCACGAGCGACGCGCGTCACTCGCGAGTCGAGCCGAAACGGCTGAGCAACTAGCCCCCATCGCGAGCCCATCCTCGCCAACGCCCGCCCGAGCGATCGCCCTCGCTTCACCCCAGCGATCCCCATCGCTCCCCTCTCCCTAAGCGATCGCCATCGCTTCGCCCCAGCGATCCCCATCGCTCCCCTCTCCCTAAGCGATCGTCATCGCTTCGCCCCAGCGATCCCCATCGCTCCCCTCTCCACAAGCGATCGCCATCGCTTCACCCCAGCGATCCCCATCGCTTTTT